AAAATAATATTTATTTACTAATTATTATAACATATTTTTATTAAAAATTTAATTTTTTAGTAAAAATTTAAATGAATTTATCTAAATGTGTATGTTGTTGATTGTTTACGTGATAATATATTAATAGTATCTAGATTAATGCCATCTCTTTACTAAAAGAAATTGATGTGTTATCACAGATTTAGTACAAAATTATTTCTAATTTTGTTTAAATTATTATTAATTTACATCTAAATTATCAATAATTTATTATTATATTATTATGTATTTATTATTATGTTATAAATGTTTTAACATTAAATCATAGATAATTAATTTAATTGTGTAAAGTATATTAATAGATCTAATATGTTATAAATACTAAAGTATTCATATATAAGAAAACTATTTTAAGCCCTTCCAATCGAAGCATTGTTGCCTTAAGTGGAGGCATGAATGAATAACCAAGAAACATTATTTAATAAGAAAAAAATAAAAAAGTAGTCAATATTTTAATTTAATGAAAAATTATTAAATAAAAATAAAGAGAGATAATTTAGTAAATTATCACATTTTATATATAATATAAATATATATTAAACATGCTAGCAATGTAAAGATAAATTTGCTATTTTTGAAAATTCATAAGAGTATTTATATTGTTCATTATTAATATATTTGGAGTTCACACTTTTATATAGATGAAATTGATGTGTCGTATGATATCCTAGCAACTAAACAAAATATTATTGCCTAGAGACATTTTTAAAATGAAAAAGAGAAATTATGAGTCTAACATAAAAATTTACCTGTAAGTTATTATCTTAGGTACATAATATTTTTAAATCAAAATATGCTATTTAATGATAATAATAGTATAAATTCTATAACTTATAATTTTATTAACAATATCAATTAAATGATGAATTTTTTATATTACTTATATTAGATACATAATTAGGTGTACATCAAATAAAGAAATTAGTCCATTTTAATTAAAAGAGAGTTCGAATATTAAAATTATATTTACTATCAATTTTAAGGTCTAAGAGTTAAAACATATATAGTTTACATTAAAATTATAAGAATATGATTGTTGTCTAAAATTTGTCATATCTTATTAATTTTAAAGTTTTTATATTTTATTTTTAACAAACAATAATAATAATGAACCTAAGGTAATTGAGAAAAGCATTTTAATATTTAAAAAACAACATAAAAACTATTTGATTTAGAATAAGGTATACCTGTAAGTGCAAATGTGTTATTTAAACTCTTATTATAACATCTTTTTTGTAAATTATGTATATTTATTGACTTTTTAGAAAATCAAGATTTGATACTAAAAATAATTTCACTCAATATCCCTTAAAAGTGTATAAATAAACTTGATTGGTTATTACATTGAGCGCTAATATTTCTTGACTGTTTTATATATTTTTTTGAGAACATTTATAATTTAATATTCTCTAATTAGTAAATAAGTACATATAATTTTATTTTATAATAAAAGTATACACTTTTATTATAAAATAAAATTACAAAATGATTTATATTGTATAAATAAGTTCATGTTAAAAACAAAAGTAAGCGATGAAGAGAAAGCATTACATATTTGTTTTATTTCAACAAAAAAAAAATTTAAAAATTTAAAATTTCAATAATTAATAGATGAAAAGATAGAGTTTAAATGATTTCAAGGATGATAGATTGCCTTAGAAATTCATAACATTGAAGATAAAGATCTACTACCACAAAAGCTAAAAAAAGCTTTAGAAAAAAGCACAAAGTAGAAAAGAAGGAAAATACAAAATTTAATTTCATTGTAATAGAAGATGATCTTCTATAGTTGAAAAAATTTTTAAAAATAGAAGACTATACAAAAAAAAAAAATGAATGAAGTTGATGACTAAACACTAGAAGACTTGAGGAAAAAATTTCTAAATAGAAAAATCAAAATAAAAAATATTAGATATTTATTCTTTATTGAACTTCACTTTAAAATTTTTGTTATATTTATTTTCTTTTTAAATTTAAATTTACATTTTCAATTTAATTTAATATTGTGATAATTATTTCAAATTTATTATTATTATAAAAAATACTAAATTTATTATATTATATTATATTATAATTATAATTTAATTAACAATCACGCGTAGAGCACGTGTGTGTATATATTTGCTGAACACAGATGATGTATATTGAGTGTTGACATATATTTGCACATGCACACCATTCACACTTTCCGCTACGATAAACCATGGAAATAGAGCTTTATATATATATATATATATATATATATATATATTTGTTTAACTCGTTTGTATTTTCATGAAGAGTTGGAGACAAAGAGGGAAGGGTGGAGTAGTCAGGATTTAAACATGCCAAGCACTGGTTTATGATGCTTGGGAAAATTTTGTAGAATTAATTACATTTATAATACTTTTCAATGTTCATTTTATAATGTGGTCGATTGTTTTCATTTTCGGGGAAGCAAAGATGGAGATATCTGTGTGGTTGAAGTAAAGAAAATGGAGATCGCCCATTGGAGCAGGAGGCTACACCTGGGTACATCCATTGCATAACTAGAGTTCTGTCCTGGTCAAAGGTAAGTTTCGGTGAAACAAGTACTATTTTGGCTAATCATTGCCAAGGCAAATAATCTGGTATTTAGTTTTTCCAAATAGTGTTTCTAGATTGCTGTAGTCATGTGATCAACTTTAAAAGATCATGGATCCCTTGACCTTTCCAGATTGAGTGCGTCTCATCAAACAAAGATGACTGTGGTTGTTATTACCGTAGCAATGACTGAGAGATGCTTCAAGTAGGGTTTTATGCCTGCTTGGTAGTTTTTTGTTTTTTTATTTTTAGCAACTGCTTGGCAGTTTAGATACAGAAAGTTACTATATTTTATTTAAAAGCTTATCTGCTTATGTTGTTTTTACTTTGTTTAACAACATGTTTATATGGATTTTCTGAAAAGCAATTAATTTAAAATCGAGCTTTTGTTGTCATTCTCCCCGACTACATAAGATGGGCATATATCAATTTTGCTTTGCCAGTCTCTAGGTGATGTCACTTTTAGATTATTGTGGTGTTTTTTGGGTCTTCAATAAACACCATTATCTGTGTTGGCACTCTCTAGTCTCCTCTCTGGATCACAATTTTAACCTTACCTAAATGAACTTAAGGCAATCTTTTCAATCTATGTTATTACTGATCCTATTGATTTATCTTTGGTTGGAAGCATATTTTATTAAATAAGTGGGTTTGATCCTTTTGCTGTTTCTCTTTTTAGTTATATTTTTATTTGAGTGTTATTATTATTTTTTTTATGTTTGTTAGGGTTAGTCTGGTTTGAAGCCATCGATGAAATTAATTACAGTTGGTATTCATTTATATACAAGCTTTTTGTTGTTACCATACATTTTAGTGTAGATCATACATGTCATTCTCCATGCCTTAAAGATATTGCGCACACCATTGGACCAAGGGTTCAGCACAAATTTTAAAGATTTCATTTGATAATTGGTTTGGTACATTTTGTTTATTCCGTGTGCTTGAATTTTAGCCTCTTTTTGGCTTTTTCACCCTCGAAACAATGTCTTAGTCTACATTCAACCAACTAGCCATGCAATGGATTTATAATCTTTATCTCCGAAATTTACTTATCTATCAAAGTCCCAAGATGTGTAGAGTTACATCTTGAGAGGGCACCCTGGACTGTATAATACCTGGTTCAGCGGCTTGATTTCCCTTATTGTTGCTTTGTTGCAGGGTTGTGTTTACAACTTCTAGTCAGTGGGGAGCTATGGTAACAAAATTAAATGTTCCTGCAGACTGGAAAGGTATTCCTCTCTCTCTCTCTCTCACACACACACACACATTCACACGCTTACGCATGTGGGCACACACAGATGCATGTGAACAATGTCAAGCGATACAAGAATGATGATCTTATTATTTTCATGTCCAGAGTGGCAGATCTATTTGCTGCTTTTAGGACTATTTTTGGCATCAGCAGTTGCATTTTACATATTCTTTCAGAATTCTGATTTATTTTGGGACTTCCCTCTTGCAAGAGAACAACAAACAAGACCAAAGATAGATTCACTTTTAGGGGATGCACAGTCAGATGATCCAAATGTGTGGAATGCATTCGGACTTTTAGATATGTGAGCATTTGTTTGATTCAATCAATTTGGAGATACCACCGAAGTACAAATCATTGTGTGCCAAGTAACTTGCTTGCATTCAACTATTTTTGTTTTTATCAATCGAACGTTTCACTAAAATAACTTATTTAGTATTTGTTGTTATACCCTTGAATTATACAGAAGAGGGTCTTTGCTAATAATACCTTGAAGATTTATCACATTCATAGTCAGTTACAGTCTTTAAGCGATGATAATTTTTATAGTTCAACTACATATGTTCAATTATAGTTTTAGTACAGAACACGGACCAAAGAATCCTAAGCAAAACCCCAATTCCATGCTTAGAAAGGACCAGTCCACTACATGTCGATCTTCCAGTTTTTTCCTGCACTACCGCTGAACTTCACAGCATTGGAACTATCAGCTAGGGGTGGTCCAAAGAGCTTAGTGCCAAGAAAGCTGGATGCACTTAAGCTTTGTAGCTGAGTACTCATTCGAACTTTCCCAGTAATTTTGTTATAGGACAAGTTCAGGTGACTCAAGAAGGTGAGGTAAGAGATGGAGGGATTTCGCCAGAAATGTTGTTTGTTGATAAATCAACTCATTCTAATGATTCCATTGCACCAATGTTGTCAGGGACGGTTCCAACCAAAAGATTATGTGAGAAATTCAATGATTGCAAGCCTACAAGACTTGTCACCTCCTCAGGGATCTCACCTGATAAATTGTTATCTGAAAGGTCCATTGTTTTAACTAGTTTAAGGGTAGTGCTATAATCCACCACCCTTCCTTTCATCACAAGTAATATATCCTCAAAAAAGCTTCCCTTAGACTTTTTTATAAAATATCTTGTCATCGGATTTATTTCTCAAGGCCATGCAATTGAGATTGTTGATATAGCTCGGAATATTTCCTGATAATTTGTTGAGGGAAAGGTCCAGGATTTGAAGAGATGATAGGGCACAATTTAGGTATAGTACCATTAAACTTGTTTGTCCGAAGGCTGAAGATGATTAATTTTGATAACTTGTCTCCCATCCATGGTGGTATATATCCGGAGAGTTGATTAGCAGCAAAGTCAACAGTAAGCAATTCACTGCATTTTTTTAGAAAGGAGGGTACTTCACCAACTAGAATGTTGTTGCGTATGTGTAATGATTGAAGAAAAGTGAAAGTTCCCATGGAACTTGGAATCTTACCACTGAAATTGTTGTCACATAATTTTATGGCCACCAACCTTGGAAACATCTTCCAACAGTCAGGTATTTCTCCTGATAAAAAATTATTGCCAAGATTTAGAACTTCCAATTTCATTGGCTCATTGATTTTGTAGCACAAGAAATGAGAGGTAGATCCTGACATGGAATTGTTAGAAAGATCTATAGCAGTCACATTGGATGAAAGACGAGGTAGTGGACCTCTGAAGTTATTTGAGCTAAGGTCAATCACAGCAGAAGGATGAAACATTGTGAGTAAATCAGGAATGCTACCTTGGAATTGGTTTCGAGAGATATTCAGGTAGTACTGATTGGAAGACAAGTTCCAAAACCAAGTGGGAATTTGAATTTCTCCGAAATCATTGTTGCTAAGATCCAAGTTACTTAAATACTTCAAATCTATCATGGAAGGATTCAACTTACCACGCAACTTCAACCCTACACGTGCTTCAGCTTCAGCATTTGATGCAAACACACCCTGAGAACTCCCAAGTTGGAGCTTGATAACATGGCCAGTTACATTGTCACAGACAATTCCATCCCATTTGCAGCAATCTCTAATCATGGGTCCAAGCAGCTAACCGGTTTGAAGGATCTTTGAGATCTTGCTTAAACCTCAAAAGAGCTTGTCTCTTACTCTGAATGCAAGTGATGCTGTGGTTTCTGGCGGAAAAGCCAAGTTTAGAAGTTTCTAGACATAGCAACATTAGCAAGGTAATTGTCACAGAACCCATGACCCCACCGATCTTCAAGCAAATCTATAAGAAAAAAAAGCTTTAAAAAACATATATTTTGCTTATGAAGATTTTGTTATCACTGGAAAGTATTTTAAATTCCTTTTTGGTGCATTAATGCATCATTGATTCGCTTTATAGCAAAGATTTCCAGTGTTTCAATCAAATGAGAAATTTCCAAGGAACATCTGTATCCTTGACTGTTTCTTGTGGAACACTTTGCTATGCTATTAGACCCACTGAGACTCAATGGTTAACATGTTGGAAGTCTAGATAATAATAAGAGTGATAATGAGAGAGAGGCACCTTTTCCTTGACATTTATAATTAATACGAACGTAAGTTTGATGTTATTTTCTTTGAAAATTTGCAGATGGAGAAAGCAATAGACTCTATGTTAAATTCTCTTCCATGTTAATAATAGTAGAAGAACATGAGCATTACTCACAACTGCAATTTTCTTTTCTTAAGCATAATTAGCAAAAGTATTTCAGTCTCCTTATACATGATTTAAAATGCGTGTATTTAACTTATATAGATACAACTATTAGCTTCGGTGTGACATTTTAGACATGTACTCCTTTTTAATCGAAGACCTTTTGATTTGATACTATTTGCTTTCACATTATAGTCACTTTTGAATAAGAATATATTTTCTGATTTTTTTGAGAATTTTTTTGGAAATAAAAAAGATACAATAAAGAGAGAGATCTCTCACAAATTCAAACTCAAGATAGCAACCAAAACAGACAAGTAAAGAACCCAAACGCAAAACCAGAACAGCTAAACCCCCAAAATATAAACTTCCTAGGCTATATAATACATTTCAGGAAACAAAAAAAAGAAAGATTTAATCTTTTTAGTTTAACATATGATATGTGATAAGATCTTGTGCTGCAAAATATGTGCTTGTAATTTCAGCAATAAATGAAATAAAAATATTAGTTCTTATATTATTTTTCATAGAAGAACTAATTTTTAGTCCCAAGTGAAGTGAAGGACTTAATCTCCATCTGGTTCAGCCTCTTGATAATGATTGGCAGAGCTATTTCAGCTGACTGACGCAGGTAATCCACCATATTTAACCCCTCCTCCCCATACATTTTCTCTATGAATCTGAAATTGTAACCGTTGAAATGTTTGTTAACATCGATTGGCCTCTCGATTTCACCATTGATTATCGCTTTCAACAGTTTGGTCGAATTCTCCATAGTCGATTGTTTCCATGCCACCAACATATCACGCACAAACAACTCATCTTCATGTTTATTCAACATCTTTTCGTAAGGGTCTTTAGGCCATACCTTGAAATGACATGAACCCTCAGAGAAGCAGCAAATATTAAATACTTCTTGCCCGAGTTCGTTAATTCCACTACTTTGGACTCCTGACAGATTCTTCGGAAGAAATTTATAGCTTGGTGTGATCATATTACTCATGTTTTTGTTTGGTTTCATCTGCTCTTCAGGTTCCGATGATAACTGAGTTAAACTCTCATAGAACTTCAAAACCTCAATGAAGTCATCAACAAAATCTGGGAAGTAATCGACTACCATTGTCTTCAAACCGACCATTGTAATCTTTCCAGTGCCAAAATCGTGTAGGGATTTCAGCAATGTCAAATAATAGTCAGAACTGGTTTCTTTCCTAACTTTTTCACAGAACCCTAATGCTCGAAGCCATGGATCTTTTGTTTTGTTTCTTGGGGTAGATTCAGGGTTAGGTTTTTGAACTGAACTATAAGTTAACCTGATCTTCTTGTTGTTTCTATTGATTTCTCCAACACCCTGATCAGAACCAGGCTCCTTCTTCTTCCTTCTGTTGCTGCTGTCAACTGAATCTATTGATGGAGTTAAACCATCACATAACTTGGAAACATAAAGAAACTCATGAAAAAATCCTGGGTATTTTCGAAGCAAATCTTCCACCAAATCTTGCAAACCGATCGTCGTGATTCTCCCATTGCTGTAGCCATGAAAGTACTCCAACAATGCCAAATATTCATCAGAACTTACCTTTTCCTTAACCTTCTCACAAAATGCCCTCATCTTTTACGAAACCATATAGCTACTGGCGTTTTTCTTTCTTTTTCTTTTGGAAAAAAATGGCTGATTTTTTGTTGCTTTGAACTGATGCCTTAAATAATAAATGAAGCAAACGCCGAGTTTCTTCCTTTTCGAAGTAGGAGCAAGGAAAGAGTTACTTGGAAATTTCCCAAACCTAGTTAGACTAGGAAAGAGTTATTGGAAATCGTCCAATCCTTGTTTAGAGTAGGAAACCGTTTTCTGGAGGGAAAAAACTTCAATGAAGTATTTTTAGGTGAAGCTTTTGAATTTTAAAAAAAAAATAATTTAATAAAAAATTTAAATTGATAGATTGATAGATATAATATGAAAATCAAGAATTATATAAAAAATTATTAAAAATATTATTTATTATTTAAATTTGATAAGTACTTATTTAATTATAAAATTCTATCAAATTTTTTATTAAAAATATCTATCTAAAATATCTATCAAATTTATTAATTTTTTTCAAAATTTATACATTTAATTTATGTGATAAAATCTTATAATTTATCAATTTTAATTTTTTATTTTTATTTTAATTTAATAATTTTTAATAAAAAACATCATAAATTTCATCTAAGTTTTTTTTTAATTTGGAAAATATTTAATTATGTTGTTTAATAGGATTTTTTCTTTTTAATTTTTAAATAAAATTTATATTTTATATATTTTAAGTGCACAAATTTTATATATCATCATAAATCATATCATATAACATCATTAATGAATAAAATAATTTTTTATAAATTTTTAAAATAAATACACAAAATTTAATTTTTTAAACTTTTCGATATATCATATAAAAGAGAAATAATTCTCTCCATTATTTAAAAAATAGTGAAAGTTTACATTACTTTATCTAATGGTGAATATGCACCTTCACCTAAATTTATGTTTAATATTTATTCAAATAATTTTCACCTAAATCTAACTTCGACTGTTGGCTTATATATATATATATATTAGCTTTTTTATTTTCATTTTAATTTTTAGGGTAGGAAATTGAAAAAGGAAGAGTTTTTATAGTAGTACTTGCTATAATTTCATAGTAAAAAATAAAATTCAATTGAGTTATTTTATTATTTGAAGTAATAAAATAATTTGTTTTAGAAATAATAAGATAAGGGTTAGTATTGGATACTCTATTATATATTGTCAATTAATCATAATACCTAGTAAATGAGTAAAACAAAAAATGATTAGGTCCTTTAAAATAATAATGAGTGAGGCTATCATGCAAATGATTAATAGTTTTTAAAGGATTTGATTACTTTTGTTTTATTCATTAATGTTATTATGTCATCTTAGAGTTGATTAATAATATATATTTAACATTTATATATTATTACTACATCAAATATTAATTCAGAAAGTACTTATTTTAACATTATTAATAATTTTTTTATTATGCTAATGAACTTTGGTTTAGTAGTAAAGGGAAACCCAGAATCTTAACCATTTCTTTAACCAAAGTTTTTTGTTGAATGCTGCAAAATTTAGTCTTTCTGACAAATTTTTGGTATACCAGTTCTGTAGGATGAAAAGAAGGAATTATGTCGGTTCTCCAAGGATGGGACAAAACCATTTTGTTTTGTACTGTTCAAAAGGCTATGCATGCTTTTGTTTGAATTAAAAAATTTACCTTCTGTTATTAATTTACTTTTATGAAACTATAATGCTTTAATGTGACAGGTGATAAAGCAGTTACTGCTGTTTATGACATAAGCACGTGGAATAAAATTGGGCATAAGATGTTACTCAGAAATCCTGTTTCTATTATGTCCGTCAGCCTGGATGGCAAATATCTTGCTATGTAAGCATTCAGCATTGCCTTTTGGATTTCTGCTTTCTAGTATTCTGGTTCATATTGGATATTAGCAAAAAGCAGAATCGTTGCTTTTGGTTTGGTTTGGTATAATTTGGTTTGCCTGTTTGCAAATGTAAAATTCCTATAGTTGCAAATGTCAAATTCCTATAGTATTAATTTTCAAATCTATTCCCAAGTAATTTTTTTCACCGTAGAATTCGTGCTTCCTTGGGAACAGCTTTATATATATATATATATATATATATATATTTAAGAGCTCAATTTCCATGGTTTATTTCCATGGTTTATCATAGCAGAAAGTGTGAATCGTTTGTATGTGCAGGCGTGTGCATGTGCAAATGTGTGTCAACACTCAATATACATCATCTGTGTATTTGTTTAACTTGTCTGTATTCTCACTAAGAGAATGGATAGTGACAGATGAAGAGTTAGAGACAAAGAGCGAAGGATGGAGTATTCAGGATTTATACATGCCAAGCACTGGTTTATGATGCTTGGGAAAATTTTGTAGAATTAACTACATTTATAATACTTTTCAATGTATATGTTCATTCGATAAATGTGTTCGATTGTTTTCATTTTACGGGAAGCAAATGTGTGGTTGAAGTAAAGAAAATGGAGATCAGCCATTGGAGCAAGAGGCCACACCTGGGTACATCCATTGCATCACTAGAGTTCTGTCCTGGTCAAAGGTAAGTTTCGGTGAAGCAAGTACTATTTTGGCTAATCATTGCCAAGGCGAATAATCTAGTATTTAGTTTTTCCAAATACTGTTTCTAGATTGCTGTAGTCATGTGATCAACCTTAAAAGATCATGGATCCCTTGACCTTTTCCAGATTGAGTGCATCTCATCAAACAAAGATGACTCTGGTTGTTATTGCCGTAGCAATGACTGAGAGGCTTCAAATGGGGTTTTATGCCTGCTTGGTAGTTTTTTGTTTTTTTTGTTTTTTGCAACAGCTTGGTAGTTTAGATACAGAAAGTTACTATTTTTTATTTAAAAGCTTATCTGCTTATGTTGTTTTTACTTTGTCTAACATGTTTGTATGGATTTTCTGAAAAGCAATTAATTTAAAATCCTGCTTTTGTTGTCATTCTTCCGACCAAATGAGATGGGTAAATATCAATTTTGCTTTGCCAGTCTCCACGTGATGTCACTTTTAGATTATTGTGGTGTATTTTGGGTCTTCAATAAACACCATTATCTTTGCTGGCACTCTCTAATCTCCTCTCTGGATCACAATTTTAACTTACCTAAATGAACTTGTGGCAATCTTTCAATCTATGTTATTACAGATCCTATTGGTGTATCTTATGTTGGAAGTATATTTTATTAAATAAGTGCGTTTGATCCTTTTGCTGTTTCTTTTTTAGTTATTTTTTTATTTGAGTGTTATTATTATTATTATTTTTATGTTTGTGAGGGTTAGTTTGGTTTGAAGCCATCAATCAAATTAATTACAGTTGGTATTCTTTTGTATACTAGCTTTTTGTTGGAACCATACATTTTGTTGTAGATCATAAAAATGGGTGGTGAACCCTAAACATGTCAATCTCCATGCCTTAAAGATATTGCACACACCCCTGGACCAATGGTTCATCACGAATTTTAAAGACTTCATTTGATAATTGGTTTGGTACCTTTCGTTTATTCCGTGTGCTTGAATTTTAGCCTCCTTTTGGCCTTTTCACCCTTGTAGCGTTGTCTTAGTATACATTCAACCAACTAGCCATGCAATGGATTTACAATCCTTAACTCTGAAATTTACTTATCTAAGATGTGTAGAGTTACATCTTGAGATGGCACCCTGGACTATATAATACCTGGTTCAGCTGCTTGATTTCCCTTATTATTGCTTTGTTGCAGGGTTGTGCTTACATCTTCTAGTCAATGGGGAGCTATGGTAACAAAATTAAATGTTCCTGCAGACTAGAAAGGTATTCCTCTCTCTCTCTCTCTCTCTCACACACACACACACACATTTGCACGCTTGCACGCGTCAACACACACAGATGCATGTGAACAATGTGAAGGGATACAAGAATGATGATCTTATTATTTTCATGTCCAGAGTGGCAGATCTATTTGCTGCTTTTAGGACTATTTTTGGCATCAGCAGTTGCATTTTACATATTCTTTCAGAATTCTAATTCATTTTGGAACTTCCCTCTTGCAAGAGAACAACGAACAATATTAAAGATGAATTCACTTTTCCAACGCCTGTTGGTTTGAGTGGTTAAGGACTTCAATCCCCTTAAGTAAGATCTCAGATTTTGAGTTTTGTGAATGGAGAAGATAGACATTGGGAGAGCTTTTCCCATTTGGGGTTCGACCTGGCTCAATTCCGGATTAGTTGGGGCTCAAAGTGGCTATCGCACACTGGAGGGTCTCAGACAAAAAAAAAAAGATAGATTCACTTTTAGGGGATGCACAGTTAGATGATCCAAATGTGTGGAATGCATTCGGTCCTTTAGATATGTGAGCATTTGTTTGATCCAATCAATTTGGAGATACCATCAAAGTACAAATCATCGTGTGCCAAGTAACTTGCTTGTTTTCAACTATATTTGTTTCTATCAATCGAATGTTTCACTAAAATAACTTGTTGTTTTTTAGCCCCTTGAATTATACAGAAAAGAGTCTTTGCTGATAATGCATTGAAGATTTATCACATTCATAGTCAGTTACAGTCTTTAAGCGATGATAATTTTCATAGTTCAACTGCATATGTTCAATTATAGTTTTAGTGCAGAACAGGGACCAATACACCAAAGAATCCTAAGCAAAATCCCAATTCCACGCTTTGAAAGGACCAGTCCACTTCATGTCGATCATCCAGGTTTTTTCCTGCACTGGGGCTGAACTTCACAGCATTGGAACTATCAGTTAGGGGTGGTCCAAAGAGCTCAGTGCCAAGAAAGCTGGATGCACTTAAGCTTTGTAACTGAGTATTCGTTGTGATTTTCCCAGTAATTTTGTTATAGGACAAGTTTAGGTCACTTAAGAAAGTGAGGTAAGAGATAGTTGGAGGGATTTCACCAGAAATGTTGTTTGTTGATAAATCAACATATTCTAATGATCCCATTGCACCAATGTTGTCAGGAATGGTTCCAACCAAAAGATTATGTGAGAAATTCAATGATTGCAGGCCTACAAGACTTGTCACCTCCTCTGGGATCTCACCTGGTAAGTTGTTATCTTAAAGGTCCATTGTTTTAACTAGTTTAAGGGTAGTGCTATAATCCACCACCCTTCCTTTCTTGACAAGTAATATATCCTCAAAAAAGCCTCCCTTAGACTTTTTATAAAATATCTTGTCATCAGATTTATTTCTCGAGGCCATGGCATTGACATTGTTGATGCAGCTCAGAATATCACCTGATAATTTGTTGTGGGAAAGGTCCAGGATCTGAAGAGATGACAGGGCACAAAGTTGTTTCGGTATGGTACCATTAAACTCGTTTGTGTGAAGGCTGAAGCTGATTAATTTTGATAACCTTTCTCCCATCCATGGTGTTATATCTCCGGAAAGATGATTAGCACCAAGTCAACAGTAAGCAATTCACTGCAATTTTTATAGAGGAGGGTACTTCACCAACTAGACTGTTGTTGCATATGTGTAATGATTGAAGAGATGTTAAAGTTACCATGGAACTTGGAATCTTACCACCGAAATTGTTGTCACATAATTTTATGGCCACCAACCTTGGAAACATCTTCCAACAGTCAGGTATTTCTCCTGATAAAAGATTATTGCCAAGATTGAGAACTTCCAATTTCATTGGCTCATTCATTTTGTAGCACAAGAAATGAGAGGTAGATCCTGACATGGAATTGTTAGAAAGATCTACAGCAGCCACATTAGATGAAAGACGAGGGAGTGGGCCACTGAAATTATATGAGCAGAGATCAATCACGACAGGAGGATGAATCATTGTGAGTAAATCAGGAATGTTACCTTGGAATTGGTTTCGAGAGATATTCAGGTAGGACAGATTGGAAGACAAGTTCCAAAACCAAGTTGGGATTGAAGTTTCTCCGAAATCATTGTCGCTTAGGTCCAAGTAACTTAAATACTTCAAATCTAGCAGAGAAGGATTCAACTTACCACTCGACTTACATATGCTTCGGCTTCAGCATTTGATGCAAACACACCCTGAGAACTCCCAAGTTGGAGCTTGATAACATGGCCAGTTACATTGTTACAGATAATTCCATCCCATTTGCAACAATCTCCATCATGGGTCCTAGCAGCTAACCGGTTTGAAGGATCTTCGGGATCTTGCTTAAACCTCAAAAGAGCTTGTCTCTCGCTCTGAATGCATGTGATGTTGTGGTTTCTGGCGGAAAAGCCAAGTTTAGAAGTTCTTAGATATTGCAACATAAGCAAAGTAATTGCAACAGAACCCATAACCCCACCGATCTCCAAGCAAATCTATAAAAAGAAAAAAAAGAAAAACTTTAAAAAACATATATTTTGCTTATGAAGATTTTGTTATCGCTGGAAAGTATTCGCTTTGTAGCAGAGATTTCCTGTGTTTCAATCAAATGAGAAATTTCCAAGGAACATTTGTATCCTTGACTGACTGTTTCTTGTGGAAAACTTTTCTATGCTATTAACCCCACTGAGACTCAATGCTTAACAGGTTGGAAGTCTAGATGATAATGAGAGTGATAACAAGAGTGACGCACCCAAAAATACATTAAACCATTGCATATTTGTCTAAAGTTTCAGTTATTTTAAAGGTTTAGTAACTAAGTTTATATCAAATCCAATAAACTTGACTTTAGTGATACAATTCTGAATTTGGTTAGACACACATTAGAAGACTGCACCTTTCCCTCGACATTTATAATATGAAAACAAGTTTGATGTTATTTTCTTTCAAAATTTGCAGATGGAGAAAGCAACTGACTTTATGTTGAATTCTCTTCCAACTTGATACCAGCAATAGAAGAACACGAGCATTACCCACAGCTGCAACTTTCTTTTATTTATCAGATGTTAAACATAATTAGCAAAAGTATTTCAGTCGCCTTATACATGATTTAAAATGCTTGTATTTTACTTATACATATAACAATTAGATTTAGTGTCACATTTTAAACATGTACTCCTTTCCAATCGAATACCATTTGGTTTGATACAATTTGCTTTCACATTATAGCAACTTTTGAATAAGAACATATCTTCTGATTTTTTTTTTTTTTTGAGAATTTTATTGGAAATAAAAAAGATTCAATAATGAGAGATCTCTCACAAATTCAAACTCAAGATAGCAACCAAAACAGATAACTAAAGAACCCAAAACCAAAACCAGAAGAGCTAAACCCCCAAAATATAAACTTCTTAGGCTGTATTATACATTTCAGGAAAGAAAAAAAAAACAGATTTAATCTTTTCAGTACAAAAAATGTTATGTGATAAGATCTTGTGCTGCAAAATATGTGCTTGCAATTTCTGCAATAAATGAATAAAAATATTAGTTCTTATATTATTTTTCATTGAAGAACTAATTTTCAGTCCCAAGTGAAGTGAAGGACTTAATCTCCAGCTGGTTCAGCCTCTTGATAATGATTGGCAGAGCTATTTCAGCTGACTGACGCAGGTAATCCACCATATTTAACCCCTCCTCCCCATACACTTTCTCTATGAATCTGAAATTGTAACCAGTGAAATGTTCACCATTGTCTATCGCTTTCAACAGTTTGGTCGAATTCGCCATAGTCGATCGTTTCCATGCCTCCAACATATCACGCACAAACAACTCATCTTCATGTTTATTCAACATCTTTTCGTAAGGGTCTTTAGGCCATACCTTGAAATGACATGAACCCTCAGAAAAGCAGCAAAAATTAAATACTTCTTTCCCAAGTTCGTCAATTCCACTACTTTGGACTCCTGAAAGATTCTTCGGAAGAATTTTATAGCTTGGTGTGATCATATTACTCATGTTTTTGTTTGGTTTCATCTACTCTTCAGGTTCCGATGATAACTGAGTTAAACTCTCATAGAACTTCAAAACCTCAATGAAGTCATCAACAAAATCTGGGAAGTAATCGACTACCATTGTCTTCAAACCGACCATTGTTATTTTTCCAGTGCCATAATCGTGTAGGGATTTCAGCAATGTCAAATAATCCTCAGAACTGGTTTCTGTCCTAACTTTTTCACAGAACCCTAATGCTCGAAACCATGGATCTTTTGTTTTGTTTCCTGGGGTAGATTCAGGGCTAGGTTTTTGAACTGAACTACAAGTTAACCTGATCTTCTTGTTGTTTCTATTGATTTCTCCAACTCCCTGATCAGAACCAGGCTCCTTCTTCCTTTTGTTGCTGCTCTCAACTGAATCTATTGATGGAGTTAAACCATCACATAACTTGGAAACATAAAGAAACTCATGAAAAAATCCTGGGTATTTTCGAGCAAATATTCCACCAAATCTTGCAAACCGATCGTCGTGATTCTCCCATTGCTGTAGCCATGAAAGTACTCCAACAAGGCCACATATTCATCAGAACTTACATTTTCCTTAACCTTCTCACAAAAAACCCTCATCTTTTAGGAAACCAAATGGCCTCTGGGGTTTTTCTGTCTTTCTTTTTTCATGGGAAGAAAAAAAAAGGCTGATTTTTTGTTGCTTTGAACTGACGGCTTAAATAATAAACGAAACAAACGCCAAGTTCCTTCCTTTTCGAAGTAGGAGTAGGAAGGAAAGGGTTATTAGAAATTGTCCTATACTTGGTTAGAGTGGGAAAGGCTTATCCGGAAGGTTAAAATTTAGATGAAAATCTTTTAACTGAAGTATGTGAAATTTTTTAAATAATTTCATAAAAATTTTAATAAAAAATATAAATTAATAGATTGATACAATCTAGTATGAAAATTAATAATATATAAAAAAATTATTAAAAATATTGTTTACAATTCAAATTTGATAAGTATTTATTTAATAATAAAAATTTAGTCAAAGATTTTATGAAAAATGCTTATTTAAAAAGCAATCTAAATTTATTAATTTTTTTTTTAATTTTACACACTTGATTTATGTAATAAAATTTTTTACTTTAATGATTTTATTTTTTAATTTAATTTTGATTTAATTATTTTTAGTAGAAAATTTTACGAATTTTCTTAAGAAATTAAATTCATCTAAGTCTTTCTTTATCTGAAAAATATTTAATTATGTTGTTTAATAGGATTTTTTCTTTTTAATTTTTAAATAAAATTTATGTTTTATACATTGTTAATATATAAATTTGATATATTATCAATAAATCATATGATAAAACATCATTAATTAGTAAACATAAATTTTTATAAATCTTTAAAATAAATTCACAAAATTTAACTTTTAAAAATTTTTTATATATCTTATAAAAAAGAAAAAAATTTCTCAACTACTTAAAAAGTAACGAAAGTTTGCACTATTTCATTTAATGATGATTAATGGATTTTCACCTATATATATGTTTAATATTTATTCAAATAATTTTTACATAAATCTAACTGCGGCTGATGGCCAATTTTTTTTTTTTTTTTTATAGATTTGCTTTTTTAGTTTTCATTTTAGTTTTTAGGGTAGGAAATTGAAAAAGGAAAACTTTGTATAATAGTTTTTGCTATAATTTCATAATAAAAACAAATTTCAATTGAGTTATTTGATTATTTGAAGTAATAAAATAATTATTTTTTAAAGATAATAAAATAAAGTTAATATTTGATATTATGTTATATATTGTCAATCAATCATATGATGATACTTTATAAATAAGTAAAAAAAAAAAGTAATTATGAATGAAATTATCATGTAACTTATTAATATTATTTAAAAGATCTAATTACTTTTGTTTTATTCAGTAATGAAGTATCATCTTAGGGTTGATTAATAGTATATAGCACTTATACTAATGAAACTTTAGTTAGTAGAAAGGGGAAAGTTTAGAACCTTAAAGTTTTAGGTGCAAATCCCATTGTATGTATATTTGATTGTTTAGTTATGCTATAGTTCATTAGGTTTTTTTTTTTTAAGTTTGTTAATTGATTGTTTAGTGATTTTACCTATATTATAATGTAATAATTTATTTAATTAATTATATGATACTTAATTATGAGATTAAAAGTGTAATTTCAAAAAAAAAAATATTTTTATTATATTTAACAAATAATATAAGTGACAATGTCAACAAAGTCTTGTTTTAATTGTAACGAGGTCTCATTATATTTGAAATTAATTGTTAGTTAAATTATAATTTATTAATTTTGATTATTTAATGATTGTAATTTGATTATAATATAATAATTATTTATTTAGCTAATTAATATTTAATTATAAATGTAACTTCAAAATATACTATAAGTGAGGTTATTATTGTAACACTATTTTTATGTTGTGCTTAAATAGATATATATTTACACAGATTAAGGTGCCACATGAATTTCTTGTAGCCGTATTTAATGGCTTAATTTAGTGATGATTCAAATTTGGAAGTTGATATAAATAAATTTTATAAAGGATTCATTTGTCAATTTGAATTTATAAAGGTGTATTTAATTTCTTTTATTTTAGTAGGGATTTATTTAAAGGAATTTATATTTGATGTATTCTAGTATATATATTTTATTTAACCATCCACTATTTAAAATATAGTAAAAATTTTTATTACTTTATCTAATGATAAATAATGTCTTTCTACTTATATTTATATAGTTTATATTTAATGATTTGAAATTAAATATTAAAAATAAAAATTAATTAAAAATTAAAAATAATTTAAACAAATATTAATAATAAATTTAACTAATTATCATTAGATAAAATAATAAAAACTTCAACTATTTTTAAATAATGAAAAAAATCCTTTCCAAAAAAATTGCTCGTTATGTTTATTTCTTTTCTTTTTAAGTTGAAAAAAAAATAGTAATAAACGATGACAAGGAGATCCAACATTTTAGGAACGTGGACCCCATATTTGGTCCGGATGGCATTTCTGAGATTCTTTCCAAAAGCAATCCTTTTTTCTTCCCCAACCAATCACTATAAAAGCTAAAAAAGCTTTCTACTGCAAATTAGATATTTCGATCGTCTTCAAGACTTTCCATCTCTCCTGATCAGACATGAATGGTCTTCAGAATCTCTCAAGGTCTGATCAAAATCCTTTCTTTTCAATCTTTTTAATATTCAAATCTATTTTTATAACATGGGTCTAATCCAAAAGCTTGCTCAAAATTTGATTTTGGAATAGTTTCAGACCCTATGTTTTGCCATTTCAAGGTTTCAAGTGCTACCCCAGAAAACCCTTTTCATTTCCCATTGATATGATGGTACTTTCTGATTTTAACTCTTTAATCTTTACATCTTTTGTATAATATGAACATTTATGTGTGTTGATATGTATATGAATTATCTT